CAGTCACCCGTGATATCATCCAAAGTCTGTATTTCTGTTGTGATTTCTCCGTCACAGACTTTGGGACACACATAATTAGTCATGTTTGGCCTTACTCATCACCGGGTTTCGACCCCGTGGCTGACACAGATGAAGGCTGTTTAATAAAACATCACCACTGGAGGGCTTTACAGGTCTCACTAACTCCTTTACAGTCCTTCACTTCTTTGTTGATAAATTCATGTAGTTATTGCCCATACTTTCCAAACCTGTCTGTCAAGCATCAGTGGACAGTCAGAGGTGTGTGTGTGTTCATCTGATATCACACCCATGAAGACACAACAGTAGTTATTGTGAATATAAATGTCCCTGGGATAGATGGTGAGTCAATCAGCCATAACTTTGACCAATGAAAGGCCAGATTGTAACATGGAAAACTATCCTCTTATATTTTGTTTCTGCAGCAAGAGTAATTTAAATATAATTGCAATCACAGGGAAGAGAAGACACAATTAGGAGGACAAAAATATAATAATCTGGATATCCAACAAGACAGATTTACTAAAGTGAAGGCAATGATGCTGTTATCACCTCCTCACACACACACAAGTAAGTCTGTGGCTCAGCACTCTCTGCTGCCAACTAGCATACAAGGTCATGGCCCTATTATCACCTTCCTCCTACCTTCCTTCTCATCCTCTCTCACAGGAACAACTTCTTTTTTTTTTACCTCATCAAGTTTCATACTGGTTTTGCGTCTTCTTAAATTAATAACATTTTTCTAGCTATATATTTTTAAGATCTACTTAAAACTATTAGCCATAATGTTATACAGTGTATTTAGTATGTTAATATGTGTAAATGTTATCGTTGGTATTCTTTCAAATTCATTTACTGTCACTTTAGCAGACACCAGAGACCAGAAGTCGTCTCACACCTGGTGCAGAGGTGACAGTTTTTGATATCAAGATGTAAGGGCCTAATAATGACTGTGATGTCACAGCCCACCGGTGACAGTCTTTTTTCATTTATAACACATGTCACCGTGGTATTTCTGCATTAATCAACCCTGTGCAGATTTTTGCCGCCCTTATATTTCATTTCACAGTCACACCAAAGAGCACAGGACCTGTGCAAAAGAAAAATGAAATGTGCATAATGTATAGAGGAGCAAATGTGACAAATGTCTGTGTGCTGACAGCCTCGATGAATGCAGTTCACTGCACACAGAGCACAGTCTGTCCTGACTTTTGCCCATAATTTATTTCAGTGGCAACATCTGTCATCTGGGACCTGGACAATCTGGAGTTTGACATCGAATATCTGAGAGAGAGTGACCTTCAACACCACAGCTTTTTATAGATTGTCACACTGAAACATGTTGCTCTGCTGTCTCAATCTGTTCTCGGTTTCTCAGGCTTTTGGCTCAGTTCCTCTTACACGGTCCTGTTTTTCTAATTGCATTACTACATCTCCTCTTACACCTCTATTCTGCTGAGGGTTTATTCTGGAATCATTTTTTTTCTCTTACTTTACAACACAGAATTCGATAAACACCGAACTGCTCTCAGTGTTGAGTATTTTCAAATTTATATATTTTTTAACTTTATAGCAAATGGCTCAGGGGCGTAGATGTTAGCGTTGCTATCTCACAGTGACTAAGTCCCAAATTTGACCAAATTTAGCTTAAAAATATTGTTTCATTTGTTTAACCGATTGATGGAAAGATAGATAAATAAATCTGATTACACATCGCAATTTTCTTAATTTTTAATTTTTAATTTATTTTTAAAAAGCTCAAAAACATGTCAAAAGCTGACAGTGATTAGAGTGAAGTGGTTGAAATGCGAGGGAGATGAAACTGTGCCCTGAAATCAAACATTTAATGAAAGCATAAAGGGTTTCTAAAATAGGCGTGGATCAAGCTGTGCACTCCAGGAATAAAGGCCTTAATACAATGGAATACAAGGGAAAATGTGATTTAGCCCCATGCATTTGAGTTTTCTGCACTGCCATACATGTAGTATGACGGTGCAGTACTAACATAAGCCGCATCTTCTTTTCATTTTCTCTCTTCTCAACTATTACTGCGGTGGTTCCCAGATATTTTTGGCAACAACAAAAGAATTTCAAAAAGACAGCATGTTTAATCATGATAAAATGATCAGATCACGTATTTATTAAAATGTCAGCTTTTAATTTAAATTTTTACATATTAAATACAACTGTTTTTATTGTGTGGAAAAATCCCACTTAAAAAACTCCAAACCTCCATGACATTTTCTATCTTGCAGAGCCCCTAGTGGTAGCTCACACACCCTGGGGGTGCACACGCCACACTTTTGGGAATCTGTTTACTGCGTACGGCTGGTTACAACTACAGTTTTTATCCATGGTGTGAAGAACAAACTGTCAGTATAAACAGTGAAAGTCTGAAAGGACGAAAAGAGATGGTTGGACCAAGTCCTCAATATGATGGGAGGCAAACAGTGTGTCCGCTCGCCAACATCCTCACTATTTATCGTCAGACTGTTGGCTACAGGCTTGATTTGCCAAAGCTTTGATTGTATTTATATTAAACAGACACACAGACAAAGAAAACAAATTAAGATGTGTACACGTTGAACATATTGTCTTTCCTGTTGTGCAGGGGTGCTGTGGAACCTGTCATCCTGTGATGCTCTGAAGATGCCAATCATTCAGGATGCTCTGGCTGTTCTGACCAACAGTGTCATTATCCCCCACTCTAACTGGGACTCTTCCCCTAATCACCACGATGACAGGAAGCTCCACCTCCATACCTCCCAGGTGCTGCGTAATGCCACAGGCTGCCTCAGGTAAGAGCAGTACTCCCACAGGCACGAACCCATTAACAGGTTCAATATAAAAATAAATGTTAGGATTCAATAATCTTTTCACAGTGTGTTGGCTTCTGAAATGCTAGTGTAAACAACCTCTTTTAGGTTGAACATCAGCAACTTCATGTTCACGTCAGTGTGTGTCAGCTGTAGAAACCTTGTTCTTTTATACACCAAGTCCACTCTCAGTGTTCATATACATACAGTATTTACCTCCTCAGTAGAAATCAATAGATGTCTGAGCTGTTATATCATCCGTTAGAAAAGGGAGCAAATTGTGTCAGTGGAAAATTTTGATTTCGATAGTTGAAAATCATTCATGGTGCATGTGAAATAGATGTTAAATCCACAGTATAGCCCAGAGCTGCTGTGCTGGTCTCCATTGTAACCTTATGTGGAGAAAATAGTCAGTGTAAACATATTTTTACTTTATGGTCGGAGTCAATAACTTGAGGTGTTTTTCAATAGAACACAATGTCAGTTTTGTAAACTGTGGTCCGACTTAGTGAAAAATCCAGTAGGAACCTCGAAGCAGACGATGCCACTGAAAGTTGAATGGTCCAGGTTTGCAGGGTTGTGTGTTTTGATTTGATTGTTTTACTGAAACTACTGACGAAAACGTAACAGTGAACATATCAGGAGAAAAAGAGGGAGTATTGTTACAGATGGGTCTACCAGTTCTACGCTAAATTATAGTTTTTAAAGACTAAAAATCAGCAGTTGTGATAATGGAAATAACTTTGAAAAGTTCTAGCAATAATATAAAGATAAGAACACATTTTCCTGAAGATTTTACAGGTTTGAATATTTAACATCTTCAGTGAGAAAGTAGAAATCTACTCTCCCGGGAACAGTTTCTACAGTACAGTTTTCAACCTTAACTGTAAGTCATTAATTCACCGTCTTGGGCTCAACAGATCAAAATGCTTTGTGTGAAAAAAAAAGTTTTGACAATGAACACAAATTATAATCTCTGTTCTGCACACAATAATTATTTTTTCTACTTCTTTATCTTTCATTTCACCTCCGTATGCTGGTTACCATGGTAACAATTCCCCAACTTTTCCACTATACTGTATGGGCAGATAGAACGCTTTTCTCTTTTAGTGCATTCAGCTAATAGACTGTGCGTTTTAGGTGTTCAAGCTTGAAATGGATGAAGAAAGACTTAAAGCTTTAAAGAGGAAAATGTCTCAGTCTAGCAATTATTGTCTGGAAGTACTGTAGACGTTCTTAGTATCTGTATATTATGCAGTTCATAACTACACTTGTAAGATTTTCCTTTGGCCCTGAAACAGCTTGAGTTCTACATCTCACTGTACATGAGACATTTATATGTGGGTCACATGACACAGTGAAGGCCATTAAAGTTCCCTGATCTCTCTGTCAGGTTAACGACAGCACTTAGAGAAACTTGATTCGTGACATAATGTACTATTGTGTCACCACATTATAATTTTCTGTTCAAGTGTAGTTAAATCAGAGTTCCAGTGGAAATTTAAGTTGACCTTATCTTTAGCCACCCATGCTCCCATGTTAGAGTTGTTGGTGTTAATATACAGAGAAGTTCTTCATTTTTTATACGTTTGAGTTTGTTGTTTTAAATTCAATAGATGTTATGTCTGAATTCAAGAAAATCAGCAGAAATATTCAGACTGGTTCATCATTGCAACACTACTATTCAGTAGCTCCAGTAGAAAATGTGGAATAAAGGTGATTTAAGTGTGCAGACAAACCTCAAAATGCAAGTCTTTAGCAGATGAGCACGATTACACAAAACTGGTTGTACATGCCTTTTTAATCGTTAGTTAAATTCTGGCTAAGTAACTTGTAAAACCAGCAGGGCTGCAGCCCACTGTGAACTGTGTACTTGACAGCATTTTGTTAGCACAAAAAAGGGAATCAAATCCCATAAACAGTCTGTTCATCAAACACACCAGCACACCAGCTCCTTAGAGACCGAAGCAGTGGGGGAGAAAAACTCTGTGTCCACTGGCCATCTGTCTTTGAGCTGTGGACTCAATCAACCACCAGCAGCTATTGGATTAATCCTCACCACTGGCTCTGCAGGGCTCCCACAGCCTTTCAGCAAATGTAACAAACATGTTTTTGTACTTATTTTTCTAACAGTGTGTGAGGAGATGTCTAACAGAGTGAAAACATAAAGTATCTTTGCATGTAAAGTAGCTTTTTCTGAAAGATTGAAAATGTTAAAAAGGTCATTCTGCACTGCATAAGTTCACTCAGTTATAATTTTTTTTCCCATGGCCACACTATTTTTTTACATTTTTGTTGTTTTTATTTTCACAAAATCTCCACCTCATTATCCAGTGCACTACATGACTTTCTGTTATACAAATTAATTACAGCAGTTGCCAAGTGCGTCCAGGAGCTTGTGCTCCTGCATGTGAGTGAATATAGCAACTAGTGTAAACACTTGAAAGGTAAAATTTCAGTATAGTACTCATTAAAAACCTTGTAGCTTCAGAGGACATTGTCATTAATGCTACTGTGTAGAAACTACCACAGGTGCCTGAGGGCCTGGATGTGAGGACCATACACACAAAAAAGTTTAATATTAGGTTTTAAGTGTTCAGAGTAGTGTTGATCTCATTTGCATGATCAGATTTTTATTTTCAGGATAGAATTACATGGTGAACGGGTTTAAAAATTTTCCTTTTCAACATACGAACGATTTTTGTCTTCATAAATTTGTGTAAACCTTGTTAATCACTTACCTTATATTATAGATCATCCTCAGATGTGTTTGGCTTGTCACAAGGGATTAACAAAAAAGTAATATTTAGATATTTTCTTATTATAAAATAGATCTCATAAGCAGTAACCAACATAACAAATACATCACAAATGAATAAACAGTCATCAATTTGTTAGCTGACTGTTGTTACCTTTATCTAAACTCCCTACATTTGCCTCAGCAGCATCTTTGAGGCTAAACCATCTGTCCTTCCAGCTGCACAGTTATTACTCTAAAAATACCTAGATCTAAAATCTGTGGGTTTAGGCTGCAAAACAAAATACAAAAAATACAAACACTAAACTCTATTATTAGTCCTGCACCTCCTTTGTGTCCGTGGTCCAAGTTTATTATTTCACTAACTCGCTAATGTGTTTATAAGAGATCGGTGTATGGATCTGCGTGGGCGTGAATGTCTGTGTTGTGTGCGTTCTGCACGTATGCCTGCTTCTACATGTGAGTGAAGACAAATGGCGCTGTCAGTGTGGCGCTCCACGCGGCAACGTTACAGATCTAATTGTAAAAGCTGGTAAAGGAGAGGAGGGGAGAAGAGAGGAGAAGAGAAAAAAGGGGAGGAGTGGTTAAACGTGGGGAAGATGAGAAAAGTTAGGAGGTGGAACAATGAGGGAGAGAAACTAACAGGATTTTAAAAAAGAACTGCCGGGACTCGGAGGGTAATGAAGGTGTTGATGTTTCTCTCTGGGGGTTGTTTTCTGTCTCAGTGTCTGTTCTGGGAGGTGAACGTGACACAAGGCCACACTGTTCAGGTCCCAGTGTGTTGCTGCTCAATTTCAGACCTATGCCCTCTCTCATTACCCTTAACTGTGTGAGGCAGGGTGTCTCTGTATTACATGACAGAGCTGCACACCTTTACATGCACAGTTATTTTGACAATGAATTAGCCTGTGCAGGAGTCTTTACCTGATTCCAGCAGTAAGTCTCGCTGGATGTTCAGTATTTATTTAATTACTGCATGTGAATGTTAGTACGTGTGCAGATGAAGTAAATCTCCACAGAAAGGTGCATTCATAAAGTAAATCAATCTCAGTCACGGCCAGCAGGAGGTAGTTATGCACAGCCATGGCAATAAGCTGGTGTCAGGGCGTCACATGTTCAGGGTTAGGTTTGTGTATTTATGTGTTTGTTGCCATTTGCGTGTGCGTTTTCCCGTGTGCCAAGCAGCTAATGATGCCGGTGGACCCATATGTTGTCTAATCGTCTGGTTAGCAAAGGGCTTTCTTCCCTCTTTGCATGAATGCATGCATACTGATGCAGTCATACGCCGTTATCAGGCCATACACGAGGCTATCCCTACAGAGGAATTTCCACAGCCTCCTTTCAGGTGCTGTTTACCACCCAGTAGGATGTTGGGCTTTTGCCAAGCTAGACAAAAACCTTCTGCCTTGGTTCTGTTCACCGTTTGTGTGTTTCTGCGTCTCTGTACTTATCAGGATTTCACAGACTTTCAATTTGTTACCTCTTCGACTCTCACAGATGTGTCGCTGTGAAGAGATGAATGCATGTATGTGCCATCTGGTGATGACCTTCTGCTTTCTGTGCCACTTGCCTGTATACACAGAACACTGTATATACAGACAGACGTTCATCTGTGAGACTCACAACTCACAAGCTGTGAAGGGAAACAGTCATGTTCACGACTCTTCAGTGTAGCTTCAATGTTCAGCCTGATGTAAATATTGACAGTGAGACATTGACGGGCAGAAATTTTTCTGTTGGTACATTATTAAAATGCAGGTCTAGGTCCAGTTAATATATTTTTAAAGAAAAGATCTTTAAAGAAAAAATCATAAGCTATATTTATTTATTATTTTAACCATTGGGAGTGAAAAGAGCAATGAGGGTCTGTTCTGTTGATATATATATATATATATATATACGTTGACTGTCCCTTTAACAGTGGCAACAGACACACACTCCTGTTGCTGTGCTGTAACTAGAACAACAACAGTTGACGTGTGAACTGGTTACCCAATCAGGTTCTCCTCCTTCCTGCTCAGCAGGTAATGATGGAAATGTGGGTGTAATTGCAAATGGGTTGGGCTTAATTAGCCAGGAGTGACACTTGATTGATGATTGATGAAAGCCGTTAACGGGCAAAGTCAAGATTTAGGAAATCACAGATCACAGAAATGTGAGTTGGTGAACGGTGATGCTCATTAACACACCACTTTGCATGTGTGTATCGTGGCAACAGGCCTGTGTAGTACTTCACCTGTACTGTGTATCCAAAGAGTAGTACAAATATCTCCCGTCTTCTATACAGTGTGCAGAATTAGCAGCTCAAAAGACTTCTTTGATCTGGATTCTTTTATTGTCTTTGTACAAAGTGATGGATGTCATTCGACTAAATGTTCCCTGGAGAGAATCAATGAAAATCTAATTGTAATGCAGTGGAAAAAAAGGTGTAGAAATAGTTAAATTTGTGGAGCACAGAATTACAGACTACTGGACAATAACTCTGCCATTGTACTGATTTATATAATATCTATGTTAAACATATTTTTAGGTATGATTTGTCACTTAGACGCAGTGGCATTTCCCTAAAGAAACCACAGGAAGCCAGACTTCTTTTTTTTTTTTTTCACAATATAACCATTTAATAAAAACACTGTCCTCTCCTCTCTTTCTCTTTGAGAGAGTGTTTTATGATGTGTAAAACAGCGCCCCTCTATAAGAGTGAGTGTTGAAAACGTGGTAGTAGGGGTACTGCTTATACGTGACCATGCAGCTGAGAATTAACAGCAATTTTTGTTGAGTTTTAGTTGAAATTCTCTTTAACATAGTCTGTAGAAAACCAGGTCTCTTTTTCTGTTTGCTTCTTTCTAAACTATTTCCATCTATTTTCAAGCGTATATTTTTACGTCAATGTATTTAAGTTTAAAATAGCTGCCGGTAAACATATCAATCAAGTGTTTTATGTCTACTTGCAATTTAAGTAAATGTTAAAGTGAATTTTTAACCTAAAGAATTCAGATTTTATTTCCCCCGACATTTTCTATTCTGTTCTCTAAAAGTTGGCATTTCTGAGCAAAATCAGTTTCAAGGCATCAGATTAAAAGAAAAAAAAATCTGATGTCAATCTAAGTAACAGTCAGCATACTGAAGGCTGACTGTTCAACAACAAATCAACCCGGTCTCTCACCAGCCCACCTATTGTCCTTGGTGCTTGAGCATTAGCCAAGGTGAGCTGTTTTCACTCTCCTGTTGTTTTTTGACTTGACAGGAAATTGTGTCTCTGCTAAGTGGATTTTCCTTTGTGTGCTTCTTTGCTCACTGGCATTCAAAGTGGGTGAAAATAACTTGACCTTCTCTTTAGTGTGGAAAGACGTGAACGTAAAGTTTTAATTGAGTTCTGGCTCACTCTTTCTCCTTCTCCCTTTCTCTTCTGTACAAATGATTGACCTCATCTCAGAGAGTGCCACAACAGCTGCGGAGTCTTTAACATGATGGATGATCTTATTCATTCATACCACTGCAAAGTCGTCTCATTTACGTAACTGCGTAATGTCTTTCTTTATTATTTTTAACCAAGGACATCTCAGTTTATGTTAAAAAAACTAAACTTGGAAAATTGCCCCGTTCATTTAGTTATTTTTAGCTCAATATTTACCGAGTTTGTAAGTGAACTTACTAAACCTTTAGACAGCATGTCCTCAAAGCCAGACTTAACATTCAACAGCCTAATTGTAATAAGGAAAAACCTGAGTCCTACCTCTGCTGGATGTGGGATTTTATTTCATGTTTTCCCGTTTCGTCTTTGGTGTCAGTTTCTGGTCGGTTTCAATTGAATGAAATTCCGAAAATTTCAAAATGTGTCAGATTCTTATGATTAAAACCTGTGATGAAAAAAACAGGATGGGATGCCTAGTGTGAAAGACAATAAATTCCACAATGGAAAAAGTTCTTGGACAAACAGGGGGAATATATGACATTTTATCATTTTATTTTATTTGACTTTCCTTTGTTTAATGTGTCTGTAAACTTTGATTTCCCTTCATATCTGTAGACACTGCCTGTGATTGGTGGCAGTACAATACAAACCTGATGCTTCACTGGTGTGTCCACCTACGTTCAGGCTCTTATTTGAGAATTACATAGCACTTTATAAAGTATATTTAGCCTAAACCACCAACATAGAAATCTCATCCTAAAAAAAAAAAAACTACTGATGTTTGTTATTGAATACCATGAACTGTTGAATGGTGTTGTAAATGTTGTGAGACGTTCCCTTAATATTTTTCTCATTTTCATTTGGAACTGTCAAAGTGTCAACCACTTCTTGTTAATCCCCTAACGACGTAAGTTGTGCTTTTCAAATCAATATAATCTGTATTTACTTTCAAAGAAACACAGTGGAAAGAAGACCAACGGCAAAACATGTAAATGTAGTTGTTGACCTGAGGTCAGTATAGAACAGGAAACATCAAATGATGAGAAGTCACAATAAGAACAACATTTTCTACAGATTCCTTTCCTTATAATTTTTACCAACATATTTCTTCTCTTTTCTCTGAGTTTCTCCTCTCAAAATAATCCAGCTCAACGTCTGAAGATCTTAAACACGAAACGTAAATTTGTTTTTTTTTAACTGACAAACAAAGTCAAGTCGATATTGTGTAGTGAATCAGCGCATCTGTATCACAGACAGGTCGATGCTGAAGCGCAGACAGATTAAGCCTTTCCACAACCACCTGTGCCTCCAGTTTAATTAAAATGCATCCTTTGTCAGCAGCATATTGGCATGGCTGTGAAAAAATAACTGGAACAATATGGTCAAATAATCAAACCTTCAGTTACGTCAGTGTTGGCTGTGATATTTAGGCACCAAATGCTCAACTTTTTTTTTTTTTTTTTCGAAATCCTTTCCATTCGAAGCAAACATTCAGGGAATTGATTGAGAAACACCCTGAATTTTAAATCTTTTTTTTTTTTTCAGTTTTTTAGTTTAGGGAGCGGTGCCAGGATCTTGTATCTCTTTGTCTTTATTTCATAGCTTTTTTTTCTGTGTAAAGTCCTATCTTTTATACTTACTGTTGTCCAAACTGCTGTCTTTCCTGACAAATATGCAGACAAATGATCTCTCTCTTTCACACACACACACACACACACACCTAACCGTGTTCTCCGTGTGCCTGTTATAGGAATGTAAGCTCTGCTGGCGAGGAGGCAAGAAGAAGGATGAGGGAGTGTGACGGCCTGACAGATGCTCTGCTCTTCGTCATCCAGACATCACTGGGCAGCAACGAGATTGACAGCAAGGTGTGTGTGCGCATGTCTGTGTGCGCTTGTGTCTAATGAAAATGTTTTGTATTTTTACCTTAAATAGATATTTGTTAGCTGGTTGTAGCAAAGAATGTATATTTTAAATATATTTATTTCATTTAAATATATCTATTTAAGGTAGACCAGAAAGGGGTGCAATCTTATAGTAGCACTGAGCATCCTGGTGTTAAATGAAATTTGAGTGAGCTTTCCTCTTCACCCACGGTTTTAAAACTAAAATGATGAGAGTAACAAGACAGATGTTCTTTGAAAATGTTGTTTTGGGAGAAAAACTAAATAGATTTTCTCTTCTTTGCTGCCAGTATGATGTTCAAAGAACAATGGCTCAGAACACCTGTGCCTGTGTATGACGAATGTATTGTGTTGTGTGTTAGTAAAATACAGCATGTAGGAGCATGTACAGCATGTACACTTACACTTACACTGTACATAAACAGTGGACGTGGATGACTGACTCCTCAAGGTCTCCAGGACTGTTTATAATGCCATCTTTAATCAATGTTTAAAAGCCGGCCCCCTTTTCCACCCTGTGACTGCAGTCATCGAAGCACTTCTCATAAAGAAGACTGATTGGCAGCCAAGTTGCCACAGTGGCGGCGGTGACGCAGAATGAGTCATGTATTGTGGCTGTTAGACCTTTATGTATTTCAGGATTTTTTTCTAAAAAGAATGAAAAAAAAAAACTTCATACAAAATTGGCATACAGCAACTGACATTGTTAGCTTGAGGAAATGAAGTAATAAAAATAAAGACAGAAACTACAGGTTATGAGGATATATACAATAACTAAACTTATCCAGTGTTTCCAGAATGAAACCAACCAAAAAAATATTCACTCACACACAAAGAAACCAACAAAAGAGGGGCAAAAAAAGAAAAAAACACCCCGAGAGGAGGATCAAAACCTTGGTCTTTAAAGAAGAAATATAGAAAAGATAATGATTCATACATTGGCTATTTATGTCTCATCAATTATATCAAAGAATTGATTCCTTAAATTCAACAGAAATTAGATTTTAACGACCATGTATGCTAAACATGCACAGAAGCTACACTTTGATAATACTCTACAGGAGCAGCATGTATGCATTTGACAAATTTGTGTTAACATTTATGCACGATTGATACTTCTTTCTCCATTAAAGTCAATAGACAGTGTTGAGTGCATCGTCTCACAGGTGACACCAGAGTCCCATTGTAAAAACACTGTCAAAAGGCTTGACCAGGACACAGGGGCTATAACTGTCAAAAAGTGTAAACAGACACATTCTTACAGATTGTCACAGTGGAAAGAAAGTGTTTGTTTTCTGCTATAGAGTCCTAAGTCAAAACCCCTTTTCCATTTCTTAAAGTGCTGTGAGAGAACTGAGACAACCTCTGACCTCCAGTGAACACAAATGGCGCCGTGGTCATGCAGAGATCGACACATAGAACCATTTTATTCTTTAAACCACACAGATGGAAAGAACGGGGGCAGAACAAACGTGACCCAACGCACTGGAATACAAATTGTCAAACAGAATTGTAAATGAAACGCAGCTTCTCCTCCATCATTCAGCGAAAGCATTCGCGTCGAGTTTCAAACATGACCACAGCTCACTGGAGCGAGACGCTTTTGTTTGTTTGTCACGTCTTCAGATGCTGTTCAATTACACTGCAACGTGTGGTTGTTTGTGTGTGACTTAACGATCAGGCGGAGAGAAGGTGGATGATTTGACCCCATTAATTTACACCCTGTGGACAAAACCCCCTCCGCCCTATCCGTGACGTGAAATACACACAGATATGTGCATACTGTATCAAAGTACACGCCTGAAAAGAAATTACACACAATGAAATAGACAAAAGAAAATCTTCTCTGACTAAAAGTTCCTCGCTGGTGTAAATGCTCTTAACTGTAAGCGATGAATGATCAATACAATTTATTGAGCTCGTAATTTTTTTCTCCCTTACTTAGAGTTCTTCTAATTTAATTTAACGTCAGAGTTAGGAGAATACAGTAGCCCATTTACCTACACAGGAGATTATCTTCACTCTAACTGCGGCTGCCTCATGAGTGGGAGTGAAAGCCAATAGAGTTACAGCGCCAGAGTGGGCGGTTTTTATTAGCATGCTTTGACTGTGAGTTTCTGCAGTGTATTCAGACGAGATGATTAATTAAAAGGCATCAAACACAAATCTCACACCTGGGCTTCCTCCCTTCGTTCACTTAGGTAACTGTCCCTCATATTTTCTTTCCTGCTTCTCTATTCTTTATCTCGAATCCCTACTCTCACACTTTATCTCTAGACTGTGGAAAACTGTGTTTGCATCCTGAGAAACTTGTCGTACCGCTTGGCTGCCGAGACGTCCCATGGCCAACAGGGGGGGTTGGAAGAACTTGACAACTTGCTTTGGGATGCCAATGGACGTGATGGAGAGAGCTCTGGCTGCTGGGGCAAGAAGAAGAAGAAAAAGAAGGGAATTGATCAGGTGAGGATGGAAGGATGGATGGATGGATGGATAGATAGAACTGTTGCCATGCTTTGTTTCAAAGACAGCTTTGGTTTATATATATAAACCAAAGCTGTCTTTGAAACATAGCAAGGCATATATATATATATAGAATTACATTGATACACTCTTCACTGACATTTAAGGGTAGATTTAAAACAGTGATAAATTGTTAAGCAAAAGTTGTTGAAATGATTGAATATTAGGTTTTATTTTATATATATAGTGTAGGATGTCTCTAGGCAACGGAAACTACTCCACTGTAAAATGTGGAAGGCCCTCCCTGTAACACTGCATCTCCATGGAGTTTAACTGTAGGCCTGCTTTGATATCATGATCAGAGAATCTATGTATAGTTGAATAACATGCACACACCTCACAGCATCAATCTCAAGACACACGTTGACCTAGTTCCTTGAGGTTACAGCGGGGGGCGGAGGGCAAGAGAGGGATGTCAATTAGAAAAGAATGATGGGGAGGAAACTTGGACAATGAGCGGAGAACAACAACAGGGAAATGAACAAAAAGGGTGAGAATTCTAGGATTACAGGACTGACCAAACAAAGGCATTTATTGTGGTAAATAGGAATAAATAGTATAGTTGTGAGGCTTCGTCCACCAACAAAGAAGTTCAAACATTAAAGGGCCACTGCAGGAGAAGAAACAAGTAAAGGAGAAGATGGGTGTGACGCTGCAGGTTTATCGCCCAAAGCTAAAGGTAGAAGTGAAATATTGTCTCATAGTCTGTCTTTTTTATCTCCCCTCAATCCTCTTTCCTTTGCCCTTTCCCATATTGCCCTCCATCAGCAATCTAGCCTAGAGACACGGAATGATTTAAAAGTCTTTTTGATTTTTTAATGGGTCAGGGTTTACGGGGGGCAGCTGCAGTTTACTTTCGGACACACATGCAGCCATTGTGACACACAAGACAAGGACAGATGAGAAAACATACATCACAAGACAGCTTTGTATCTATTCTGTTCCACATATATTTATGTATGCATATATATATAAACATTTAAATAATAATTTCTCTGACAGTGGGATGGTGTGGGCCCTTTTCCGGACATGGCCGAGCCCCCGAAAGGGGTGCAGATGTTGTGGCACCCGACCATCGTCAAGCCCTACCTCACCCTTCTGTCTGAATGCTCAAATCCTGACACCCTGGAAGGAGCAGCTGGTGCTCTGCAGAACCTCGCTGCAGGCAGTTGGAAGGTAACGGCTTCTTTAAAGTATTTTCCAAACAGTTTGGAAATGTCTTCTTCCCTGAGGTTTATTTATTGAATGTCAGTGTGCCATTCTCTGTGCAAAGGATATTTATTTTTTTCATAAGAGGGAGAGTGTATGTGAGAGAGGGAGGGAGAGGAGGGGAGAGGGAGGATGGACTGATTCACTTTCAAAGAGTTTGACTACCAAACACACAGACTAAAAATAGCCAAATAAATAGAAATCTTTTGGACAGAATCTGAGTAGAATCTGACTCCAGGGATGTAGTGAAGAACTAATGGCAGCTATCTTCTCAAAGTTAATAGATGTCTCAAGGTCAACTCGAATCTTTTGTAATTAGATCGATTGAAAGACAATTCTTTTCACAGTTGTTGTCTGGACTTTATACCTCTGACAGCTTGATCACGTTTCTGTCCAAAAAGCCTTTTGTCAATACAGTTGATACACACTACTGTCCCTCAGTAATGAACTGATTGAACTGATAATGAAAAAGTTATGATGAAATTGATATTATTAATTTGATGGTTTTTACTTCGAAATAAGACACAGAAGCTAAGTTTGACTTCAGGACAATTGTGAAAAAGGAAAACAAAAAAGGACAAAGTTAACTCTGTTTGATATTTCTAGTGCTAGCCCATTGAGTGACACATACTGTAAATACTTGTGTACTTAACGGCCTAGTTTGTATTGGCATGAGGGCAGCTTTAGCCTGGAGGGTACTTTACCATAGAACACAAAAAAACATGTGATGAAAGTGATGTAGTGTCAATAGATAACTGTGTTGTATGAATAAAGAATTTAGAAAAGAAAGAAGGTGCATGGAGTGTTCCATGCAAGGATCTGATGCAGGAAGTGCATATGCATCAGATTTTTGTTTCTCTGATGCTGTCACTGGCAGATGATGAGGGAGCAAAACAGGGGGCAGGTGGTCTTCAGGAAATCACATTTTCTGGTTTCAGCCTCACTGCATCTCTCGCTGTCGTCTTTTCTCTGTCGGTGTTGGTGTGCGGCTGATTTTCTGTCAGCCGTGCGTTGTTGTGACTGCTTTAAGTCTGCTTCTACTCCTGGCTTTGAGAACACCGCTGCTTTCAAAGAAGCTCTGTTCTATCACGGCCGGCACACCAGTCACTAAGCCTTTGACCGAGAC